CCTCGCGGCTGTCCCGGGCAGACCGCGGCCTTCCTCAGGGCATACCGTGAGATCGAGAAGGCACGAAACCCCTTCACCGTAGCTAGATGGTGCAGTGTACACGCCACATCCCGCTCTGAAGCCGCCGCGGTCCCATTGTTACTTTCTGCGGAAGAAATCACAGGAAACACGCGTATTTTCGCCGGTTTGTTTAGATGCGTTTTATACGAATAAAAAACTCCTTGTGTGGTCGGTTTTACGGCTCCCTCTTTTAAATTCCGTTCACAGGAGCGGTGGGGGGGCATTTTGTTGATGTTTTACACTATTAGAAATTCACAACAACAAAAATTTGTGATACCTTTGTCTGTTGAAAGAGTGGATTTTTTTGATGCTGGTTCCTATTTTATCTCCAGTTTGACTCCACAGTTTATTAATCTCTCTCTACTCCTAAGGTTTAGTGTCTGTAGCTTCATGGCCTACAAACTAGTTGTAGAGAAATGGTGAATAAAAAATTTTTGTTTTGAAAGAATTGGTCTTAAAAGTTTTTTTGGGCTGGTTTTATGTAATGATATCTGTTTCAATGACATCAGGTTAGTTAGTCCCCCTTTCTCACTTGATTCTTGAAAGAGAAAAAAAAAAATTTCCTCCTGTGAAGCACTTTTTCTAATTCGTGTGTCACGTGCGGTGTCTCTGGTACAGCTCTAACGGTGCGGTACCATGGTTATGAAAGCCTCCGTAGAAGATGATGATTCAGGCTGGGAACTCGGTATGCCTGACAAGATGGAAAAGAGTAATACAAGCTGGATAGATATAACCCAGGATTTTGAAGAAGCTTGTAGAGGTGAGTTGCCCTGCTTGTGTTCTGAGAAAATTTGCAGTTTGCAGAACTAGGCACGGTTCTTTGAGGTGTTTTGAGCAATAGTTTGACGCAGTGTCAAGCTCCAGGTGAATGGAGTACATTGATTCTGTCTTTCCCTGTGTTTAACTGTGAGGCTGGAAATATCAGAAGAACCTCACCTTGCTTCCTCTTTGAGATGACATCTTTTATAAGTCATGTTTTTTCTTCTGGCTTGCTTTTGTGCCCTGCTTTTTTTTCCTTTGCAAAAATTTTTTTTTCCTAACGCTTCTGCCAAATTGAAACCTCATTCTTCCATGCAGAATCAACACTCTGGTTGTTTTTTTTTCCTGTTCGTGTTTTGATCTACAGCGAGCAAGGATTCATTCATTTTATCGGTCAGTTTTTCATCTTTGAAACAAGGCTGAGCTGCTGGGGAGATGCAATGCATCCCAGTCGTAGGGAAGCAGTTGCTTCCATTTAAACAGTGCCTTTGTTGTCATTAGATATTAGTGCTAGTTGGCCACGGCAGCGATTTTTTTTTTTCGCCTGATTTTGTGACATTAAGGAAGACTAAATATAAAACGGCAACTTAACCTGACACAGTATTACATAATGATAACCAACATTTCCTTATGCCATCAAATAATTTGCATATATTAGTGATACAGTGTTTGTGTACCCATCAGATACATCTAAACGCTTCCTTGAAAGTAATGAGGAAAAGCAGGCCTTTTGGTACACTGCCCTGGAAAAAAAAATTAGACATCTGCATAAAGGAGCACAGAAAACTGCTGTCCTGTGTTCCAGGCTATTCAGGTGCTACTGTTTAGTAATTCTAAAATCCCTTTAACTGTTGAAATAACAGAAGGGGATAACGGAAGACTGAGCAACTGGTCTTTTTTAGCCTTTCAGTCTTGAAAGTGCTTTGTAAGTAAAAGCAAATGAAGGTGGAGTAGAAATGTCTGGTCTGCTTGCCACACCGTATTCTCTCTTGGCATCAGACAGTTTGAGTGACAAGACTCTCATGGAAAAGTTGTGCTAGAAGGATGATTGTAATTATTTGTCCTGTTCTGTTTCTTCGTAGAACTGAAGTTAGGAGAACTGCTTCATGACAAGCTGTAAGTATGCCTGCAAGGTAGTTCCGTTTTGTACGTAGGATTGGTGCACATATGTTCCTGTATGACTTGCTGATTAGTAAACGTTTCCGTCATGGTTTAACCTCAGCTAGCAGTAAAGTACCACGCAGCCGCTTGCTCACCTCCCCCCCCCTCTCAGTGGAGGAGGAGAGTCAGAGGAAGAGACAAGGAAACTTGTAAAAGTGAGATATGAATTATTTAATAATTGAATATAAATGAGTGGTGTAGTGATGCTAATAATACTAACAGCACTACTACTAATAAGTAATTAAAACAATAGAACATGTGATATAATGGCCCACAGTGCACTGACCAACACACAGCCAGGTCCTGAGTAGTGAGAGTCGGAGGCAGAGAGCCCCAGAGCCGAGGGGCAACACCACAACTGGGAAACACCCACCGAGCCACCAGCTCTATAACAAATGAACCCACCCCCAGGCCACTAACAACTGCTTTAAGGAGTTAGCAAGAAAACGACACTTCCCCCCTCCCCACCCCGAGGCAACTTCCCACCTATTCATGGAATATTCATACCATGGAATTAAATACTCCTTCAGCCAGCCATCAGAACTATGAAGAAAAACCAGCACAATTACCAACTAAGCTTTTTTAAACTTTTGAGAAAATAGTTGAAGTATTCAGAATATCGTTTGTCCTCAACACTATGTATATGATGCATCTGTAGGAATGCTGAAGATTCCTTACGGTGCCAGTACAACATCACGTTTTCAGTTAATCAGCCTAGATTAGAAGGTTGTAG